ATTATTGATGAAAGTACTATTCAAAAATACATTTTCAGAAAGTTTTATTTAGTTTTACACCTAAACTTGATTTTAGTTGTACTGAAATGACATCATTATATTTATTGTTACAAACCAAATTATTTAACATAACTCATATCTATTTTAATGCTTTAATTTTAAATATGAAAGAAGTTGATCCAAAAACAAAAATATGTGATTCAATAAAAAATCGATTAGATAGTTCTCTTAGAAAAACTGATAGTAAAAATATTGTTATTGGAACAAATCAACTAGGAATCGGAAGTAAAAATAGAGTCACCTACGCCCCTTTATTAATACGTTGTATGGCATTTTTATTACGTTGTAGACTATTAATTGTTACCCATCAACAAGAAACTTTTAGAAATAAAAAAATAAAACAACCAGAAAAACAAGAAACATTAGTCGAATTATATACAAGAAATAAAGACTATAAAAAAGAATTTATTAATATGATGTATGAATTTGATATTATTGATTTATTTCTTAGAAATTTAAGAAATGAATTAAAAAGTACAAAAGAAATGAAAGAAGGAAAGGCAATGTGGATAATGAATTCTATGAGATTATTTTCATTTGATCCAGTATTAGGAAGAAGATTAGATTTATTTATGAAACAATTAATCTTTAGTCAATATGATTTTATTACTGATGAACCTGAAAGAAAGAAACATACTGAAGAACATTCTAGCATTAAACAATCAGAAGAAATAAATTATGTTCCATATAAAGTAGAATTTGATAATTATTATTATTTAAATTATATTTATTTATTAGAAGAAAATAACATTGAAATGGATTTTATTGATTGTGATGAAAAGTATATCACTGCTTATTTTTTATTATACATTGATATCGAATTTGTTAAACCTTATATTAGAAATACTTATGATCTTTCAAGAATTATGTTAATTGGTAATGTAAAAAATTATATTAGTGTAACAAATAATAATGTATTTTTTAGTGAAAAGGGACCACAATTAAATGGTGGTGTCATTCGTATTTCACCTTTTAATTTTTCTAAATTAAAATTATTTAATCCATTTATACCTGATTTTTTAGTAGATGTTTATCAAAAGAATTGGTTAAATACTTATGCATTTTATGTTAATAATGGTATTAGTTTTGATAGAATTATTCTTGCTGATCCTGTTATTAAAATACCATTAATGAAACCAGTTATTACTAAAATGATAAATAAAATTAATATTCATAATTTACCTTCATTATGTCCAGATAGTGAAAAAATTGATTATTCCTCTTTAAGTAAAAAAACTTTAATCAAAAAAGTAAATCATTCTTCAAGTCAATTAATTTATTCAGATAATGGAAGTCAATTATCTTCGGCTTTAACTCAGTTTTATAATCAATTTGCTATTACAATTAGATACGCTTGGATTTCTTCTCAATTTGTTCCAAGTAAAAAAGATAAAGAAGATTATGATGCACGTGTTGCTCATGACTATATTTTATGGGCTCAACTTATTGATATTAGACAAAGATTATTATCTGAATTACATATTGAATTAACTAAAAAAGAACAAACAAATAAAAAGTTGTTTGAAAATAAAAAAGCTGAATTATTTATTTCTCGAATTGATAAAGATGAAAATGCTTTTCCTGAAAATCAAAGAATAAAAGGTATTTGTTTGTTATTACTTGAAAGTTGTTGTGAAATTTTAAAATATTATAAAGAAGGAAAAGTTTTTAATTTATCTTATAATAAATAAATTTTTAATTGATTTGTCTTTCTCATTATTATACTATTATTTAGAATTAAATCTACATTGAAAATAGTCTAAAAAATATTATCTAATTCACTAAGTTAATAATTTTTTGTTTATTTTTTATTTATAATGGTAGAGGAAATTGTTATAAACCAACACCACAAAATAATTAAAATAATTACAACAAGTTATATTTGAACAATATCTAAAATGGAGGAATATCAATAAGGAATGAATAATAAAAGCGTTATTTAACATGAACAATGATATTTATGAACATGTGTGATGGAAAATGGTATACTCTTTTTGAAATGTTTAAGAAAATAAGAAACAGAAGAGATAAAATAAATATTAAATAATTGGTAAGAGAATAAGATTGTATTTGATAATACCAAAAGAACAATATACTCAATTAAAAAAAGAAGGTTATTATACAGAAATGAAATTAATAATATGTATATATACGATAAACCTCATTGAGAGATAAAAAGAATTATTATAAAATATAAAAATAGAAAAGAAGAAAAATAAAACAAGAAATGAAGAAAACACAAGAAATGATAAAAGGAATTAAAGTGATAATTAAAAATTAATAAAATAAGTTTCTGTGTCTTGACTTATCTAATTCACTTTGTTCAGATGATATTTCATTATTCACTCTCTTCCAACTCTTGTTCATAATGTACTTCTATCTCTCTATATTCACCTCTATGATATCAACAGTATTTCATTAAGTCATTCATGTTTATAATCATTATATCTTTTATCATTATTTCATATGCAATTATTATACTTTGTTATTTTATCATTCTTACTGATTCTTTATTGATTAATCAATTTATTGTTATTACTACTTGATTACATTCATTTTATTTTATTAATTTGTATTATTTTGAAATGGAGAGTTCTATATATTTCAAATTTGTTAGTAAATGCAAGAATTATCTTCTTATTATATACTATTATCATATCATTTATTATTCTTGTTTTATTTTATCTTCTATATAAATATATGACATTTTATGAAATATTCAATTTTATTAACTATTTGATGATTCAATACAATAAACACTTCATTATTTTCAATTCTTCTTTTGAATTTACTTATTCTCAATTTCTTCATCATTCATTCTATTTATTTTATATTTTAATTTATCACTCTCTAGATATATTCTCTTATTAAATCATACTTTTCCATTTGTATATTCTTATTTATAATACAATTTAATATTATATGTTCAATTGATGATATTTTATCATTACAAATACGACACTATTTTAAATTATTAATTCATATAATTAATGCATTCTTAATCAATACAAATATACTATTTTCTTACATTAATTTTAATTATCTATATTAATCTCATTTTATATTAATATTCATCATTATTCTATTTGTTAATTTCATATCATTCATTTCATTTTCAAAGTATTTTATTAAATGAATATTTACATTATTTAATTTCAATTTATTAATATATATTTCATTAAATTTAATATTTAAATATTTTATTATTATATATGATTCATTCTTATTTTATAACAATAAATACATTTCATTAAATTCATTTTTATTAATTCTTTTATCACATGTTTTATAAAATCACTTCAAAATTTAATTCTTATTCATTTTCATCATTTCTCTTATTTCATTATCTTCTTTTTCATAATACATAATAATTCTTATTAATTCTAATTCATATTCATCTCTTATTAACATTATTATTTCATCATTATGATATTTTATATTTTTTTCTTTAATCTTCTTCCCATTCTTATCATTATTTTATTTTTATTTATTCTTATTCTATCTTATTTATTAATTTCTATTCTTTTCTTCTTATTATTGATTAAATATTCTATTTGTTTAATTTCATGTTTTATTAATAATATATTCATCATTGTATTATTTATTTCTCTTTATTATTTTAATTCTAGTGTATTTCTTGTTAATTAATAAATCTTTTAATTTATTGGTTCTTCTTCTTAGATTATTAATTTCATCATTTCGATATCTTATAAAATTATTTTATTAATATTTAGAAATACAATATAATATTTTATATATTTCTTTTTTGATATATTCTATATTTTCATATTCATACTTTCATTCTTTATTCATATATTTAATTATTTCATCACATGTTTTTTTATTGAAATAATAATTAATATATATTATTTATTTATTTATTTTTCTTTATTTTCTTGTGTTGTTTCATTTTATTATTAATTATTTCATCTTTCATATTGTTTATCATTATTTCTCATAGTTTATTGAATTGAATTGATGTATAATTATTCATTATATTTAATGTTATTTCTATTATCTTTTTCTTGATTCTTTCATTATTTCATCTTTTATTTATTTCTATATATTCTTCTTTATTTATCTTTATTATTCTTTCTTCTATTATCTCTTTAATTTCTATAATGTCTAATTTTCATTTTAATATTTATTATATTTAATCAATAACATTATTAACTTTTTATCTTCTTTTCTTCTATTTCTGATGGTTCATTTGTTTTTTCTTCATTATTTCTTCTTCTTACTTTTGTATTTCACCATTTCTTCTATTTCCATTTCTTTTATTTCTCTTTCTTGTTCAAGGGTCAAGTGGTTGAGGCTAAAAGAATATTAGCCCAAAGCAATACAGTGGTAATTATATACTCTCCTTAAAATAAGAAAATAAAGAAGAAGAATTTAAACCCAAAGAAGAAGAAATTTAAACCCATTGAAATTAAAAAGAAATTAAATAATGAATGTTTAAATAAGGGATGTTTAAATACTCTATTCCACATCAAAAATGAGAAAAGAAAATTCTCACAGTTCAACAACTAAAAGCAAAGAATAAGCCAAAAGTTGAAGAACAAATACTTTTAAGCGAAGGGATGGGATTAGTAGTCTCCCCTGAGCAAGGAACAATAGAAGATATTTCTATTAATACTTAATTAACTACTTTTTAATTTCTCTTTCTTGTTCTACTTCTTTTTCTTTTTTTTTCTCTTATTCTTTCTATTATCTCTTCATCTATATCCCTTTCTTGTTCTTGTATTATTTCTTGTATTATTTATTCTTTCTTTTCTTCAATTCACATGTTTATTTCTTCTTGTTCTTCTTCTTTCTTATTACATAACTTCTCTTTTATTATCCTATCAACTCAAATCTCTTCATAATTTCTTGTATTATTTCTTATTTTCTTTTGTCTCTCTTTCATTGTCTTTTCTTGTAATATCTTTTGTTTCTATATCTTTTACATTGTTTATTCTCATGATAGTATTGATTAAACATTTTATCTGTATTATGGTATTTATGGTTATATTAATTACTTTTCATTTTATTATAAATGTGATTAATTGGGAATGTACTATGGTATTTATAAATATGATAATTATTATTAAAGTGATTATGGCTATTATTTTGTTGATAATGATTATAGTTATAAAGTTGGTAATGTATTGTAATGTCTATTTGTTTGGAGAAAAAAATATTTATATATGAATTTAGTGGCACCTTGCATGTAGAACTTATTCTCATAGAAAATGATAATATAATAGTAATAAATAAATGAAGACATTGAACAAAAAAAATAATAAAAATAAAAAATGGGAAAAATGAGAAGAAGAAAATTTAATGAATATAACATAATACCGTAATAATACTAATTAAGAAAATTTAATTGAATTAAACCAATAAGATAAAAAGGAGATAGTTAAATGTTAATAGTTTTATTTACTATTGTTCATTATTCAATGCAGAATTCACTTTCTTTTAATATTGTATATTCATTACCTATTAGTTTATTCTTAGCTTTTAGTTGTTGAATTGTGACAATTTCATTTATTTATTTATTTAATGTACAATAAAGTATTTCAGATATCTTTGATTTAAATATTCATCATTTAAGTTATTATCTGATTTTAAT